TATGATAGTATTCGGTGTCGTGGTCGTAATGACCCGAGCACCAATGAATTGGGAACATGGAAATACGCCTGACTACCAGGCGACCCTCAGCGTCCACGAGGGGCTCCCCGTCCGTGTTGATCACCGTGTTTTTTGATTCGAACAAGGAGTCCAAGGCGATTTGGGTGACCGGATGCAGAACATACCATTTATCCTTAAAGTCCCTTACCGAATCCATATACATCCTGAACAGCCTCTTCGAATGTTTCAGGGACACCCAGCTGTGCCTGCCTCCTCGAGATTGACACTGCAGGTGAAAGACCCTGAAGAAAAGGGGAATCGTCGCCCTGATTCTCAGAAAACGACACGTCAGCTCGAATGCCCGAAGGAAGGCGATCGAGTTAGGGTGAAGCTGTGAAGGGGCCAGGTTCAAATGGATGAACACCCCGACTTGAAAGTCGCTGAAGGGTAGTTTAAGACCGAGATCCATGAACACAATCTCGTACATAGGGAACCCGTACTCAGTAAACTTCGAGCATATACGCGCATTAATCGACGACCTTATCACTACAAAATTCTTTTGAAAACCTGGCTGACTTCCGCCATGCTCGACGACAGTGTAAGCACACCAACTTCGCCGACAGTACGCCGAGGCAATCCCTCGGGGCTCGGCATCCACCCAGTCCAACATGGGGTCATCAATGGTGTCGACTAACGTAACATTCTCTTCGGTACTTGTGTCCTCGGCTTCATTTTGCCTCGAAGATTTCGGATCGTCGGCCATTCACCTGCAAAGCACAGGAAACCGGTGAATTCGAGGGCAAATCCGCGTGCTCGCCATAGAGGCAGGAAGAGGTACACAACAAACCGAACACGGACACCCCAACTCCGACCACGCGTCGGGGACAGCACGGGGTAGCACGAATACCCCGGGTGAAACATGAATCACTCAAGCAAGTTCCTGGCTTCGCCTGCCTGACACTAGGATATCACGAGGAGGCTACCCTACGTACTTCCCAAAGGATCAGCATCCCGACCAGCTCATGGGTGCACCGACCAAACCCATGAATGTCACAGGCAGTATCATGAGTCATACGCCTAAACCCATGAATGTCATAGGCAGTATCATGAGTCGTATGCCTAAAACTATGAATGTCACGGGCAATATCATGAATCGTATGCCTAAACTATGAATATCACGGGCAGTATCGCGAATTATGTACCTAAACCATGAGTATCCCGGGCACAATCATGAATCTACCGGGCACTACTCCCAGATATGGATTTCTAACATCAAAAACAGTATCAAAACTACCTACAACGAAGAAAAACAGGAGGAACAGACACTTCCTTAGAAGAAAAGAAGTGCGTACGACGGTGGTGGAAGTAATCAACGGTGAATAGTGCGGTGATCTCATGGCGTTGCAGGAAATGACGACAGCGGAATCAGATAAAGAGGGAGGAGCGTGAAGAGGAAAAATAAGTTATGGGCCCAAGGATCCTATTTATAGGGATGATGTAGAATATGAAACGTCGCACCGGGGAGACACGAACTTCCCCGTCCTCGACATCTATTCCCCTAGGCAATGCTGACCCTATTTTGATAGAATGGCGTTACAATTCCCAAGGACTGCCTCGCGTACCCGACAAACGCAGCCCATGAGGAATTCTTCGAGCACACAGCGACAAGGACCGCACTGCGTGTCCGACAAACGCAGCCCGTAAGGAATTCCTCGGGCACACTTCAACAAAGACCGCCCTGCATGTCTGACGAACGCAGCCCGCGAGAAAAACGAGCTAAAGATCAAGTCATAACTCCTGCACCAGGAGCAACGACTTTGGGGGCTCCTGTTCTGGACTGGGCCTGCCTTGGCCCAAAATGCAGATAAAGGCCCAAATCCAGATAACTCCTCGAGGAATGCTCACAAACAGACCTTCACCGAACGTGCCCGACCATAGATTGTAGGTGTTGTGCCCGCTATTGCCCGCTATAAGCAGTGTCCCCGACCAAGGGAACTCTAGCTCGAGTCCAGCTCGAGCACCCTCCCTGTAGGGCAGATTCTGTCCACCCTAACCGTTGTGGAATCCTCTAAGTTTCGGAAAGACCGCGTCTTCGTCCCTCCTTATTCTTCGCACAACATCACCAGGAAGGGGACCACGTGTGGGTGCCCACTACACGCGTAGAACCTGACAGTTCCTTTGTTGGGCCAATTCTGGTCGACCCAACGAGGGGACCTTGGCCCAGCGCTGGGGGCTATAAATACCCTATGTTCTAAGAGGGTCAGGTATTCATCTATTACACACCTATATACTTTTTGCCTGCTCATTCCATCTCTCATTTTAGCATCGGAGTGTCTTGCAGGTACCCCCCAACATCTCACTCAAATTCAGTTCGAGCCAGCTGTGACAGTCCAAGTCTGATCCGGCAAGATCAGTTGTGGTATGAGCAAACAAGGGGGTATTAGTGAGTAAAATGAATCAGGCCCAAGGGATAGAGCCCAAACGCGCTAGAAGGAAAAATGACAAAAAAATATGGAAAAAATGCAAAAGACAGCGCGCTGGGTGTTGAACCCACGCCCTCTTGGTTACCAGTGCGCTGCCTTACCACTAGGGTGGCCGTACATCCATTAACTTAACTGAAATGTTAAATATATAATACAAAATGAGTCTTGAATATACTTCATCTTCAACCTCCATCCAGACCACATGTATCTCATTCATTTCTCAACAAAAATGGAAAATGCAAACATGAAAGTTGCTCCATTTTTCCATACGAATCCAACCATATAAATATCCTAAAATTCTCCTAGCTCAATCAATATAAATAAAATATATGGACATGTACAACTTCAGGGCAATGATGTATATATTTTATCTTCACAAATGCAAGCCTAACAATGCCTAAGTAATGAGATAGAAGTTCAATAAAAATACCTCAAAACTGGAAATCATGAAATGCAAATGAGCTTGATTCAAGGTGCTGCAATGATCAGCTTAGCTTCCTCAAGTTCCCAGGAAGCTAATGCAATGGTTAGCTTGAGTTGAGAGTGGCTGAAATGGCTTGGAGAAGTCAATGTACAGTGCTCTGTTTTTGGCTAATGAGAAAGATGGAAATGGAGTTACAGTTGTGTAACAGGGACAAGGAGGAGTTGTATTTGATATTTAGAAGCTTTAGGAACCAAAAGGCTTGAAAACGCACGAGGGAGATGTGAGTTTCAAGTTTTTGGTCAGAGTGTGCAACAATGGTGATTTATGATTCATTTCTGAGTTTTAGTGTGTATTAGGGCTTGTGTATGCGTGTGTTTTCTAGCAAATAACTTGCATATCTATAAGAAAAAGGTTAGAGATGTTTTTCCCAAGGGATTTCTGAGTTATAGGATTATGGCCAAGTTGCTTGATTTTGAAGAAAAGTGAGAAATGTAGTTTCAAGGTAGAAAGTACAAGCATGTACAGTGGTTAGGCACTTAAAACATGTTTGCTTATGATCACTTATCTTGAGTCTGGACAGAGATAACAAGTTAGGAGCTCAAGGAGAGTTGGCATTTGCAAAAACAATGCTTTATCAAAATAACAATGGTAACTTTGTTCCATAAATGGAAAACCAACTTGGACAAAGCTTCAAACACTTGGATAAGGGATTAATAAATTGTGTAAACCATTAATTGTAGAGTTAAACACAAGTTTGGGGCCTGCAAAGTGAAGATTATGCAGCATAGGCTTGAGATTTAAATTCTTGTTCATCACAAATGACCTATGATTTTAGTTTGAAACCCTAACTTCGTCTCTTTGATTCTCCTTGCTCAAGAATGATATCAAGGATTTATTGGATATTTTGGAAATCTTGTAATGTGCTATATAATCCATCTTTGAATCACTTTTGAAAATTACCCTTGGAACTATATGAAAAATTGCCATGAAGTTAGGTCAAAATCCTGCCTAAACTAGGGCAAATTTTTCACTAAGTGTTTAGTTTCATGACCATGACTTCATGGATTAATAACTTGAGATCCAAGAATTTATATGAGAAGTTATGTAAAGAGATGTTTTAGATCTCATAGAGATCTACAACTTTCATGTTGAAAGTTTCTTTTGAATCATCTTGCATCATGGTGAAAATTGGCTTAAAGTTGTGAAAAAATATGAAGTTTTCAACACTTAGAAAAATTTCTAAGTTTGGAAACTTTGACTTTTCAAAATGAAATCTTGACTTTTTGATTTCTTGATGAACAAGTTTCATATTTTGACATGTTTTGATGAATTGTGATCTTTGACACTTGATTTTGACCAAAAAGTCAAATTTTGACTTTTCAGTGTACAATTGACTGAAAATCAACCATCAATCAAATGACCTTGAGCAATATTTTGAGTCATGCCATTAGATCAAAATGATGCAATTGAACTCTTGAGATCATACATCAAACCAATTAACCAATTGCTAGGTCAAAAATCAGAAATTGTCCTTTCTCAGTCAAAACCCCAATTTTGACCATTTTGCCCTTTTGATGATCTGATCAAATTTCTTGAGGAATTATGGTACAAACTTGATCAAATGGTACATATGAGTTTATAATGTTGATATGGATAAAAAATTATGAATTTTGACTATAAATTGGCCACAATTGACTTTTTCCCCAATAAAGTTGATTTTTAGGTCAACTGCTCAATTGACTGAGCAAAAATGTGATCCAAGGCTTGAAACTTGACATGAGTAATCTTGGGGGTCCATAATGATCCATGAAAGTCATATGAGGTATTGAAAGTTCAATTATACTTGTGCAATCTCAAACCCTAATTTCAGTCATCAGTGCTTAAGGAGGTGTCTTTAGCTGATCAATCCTTGTGCAGTCTTGAACCAAAGGAGATCTTGTGAGAAAATATTTGATAAATGAGAGGGAAAATTATGGGGTACAACACCGTCGCACTGGTATTTCCTCATAGTGTTTGATCCCTTTATAGGATTCTAGGATCTACTATTTTTCTTCCACTTCTCAATCACATGCACGAATTGAGACGAACTTAACATGAAACGTGTCTCACCAGGTGTGCCAATTTGTTTGCAGGAGTTTCTCGCGAACAATCTTTAACCTCTTAATTAGAGGTTACTTGCAGGATCGACTATAAGAGTCCTAGACCTCGTGTTAAGTTTGATAGTGTTTTGGTGTTTGAAATGATTAAAATACAGAAAGCGTAATAAGAACGAAAGAGTAAGAGACAAAGACAAATAAATGATAGATAAACTGCAAGGATAAAATGATAGATAGGACTTGAAATAAAACTGCTTTGAATTTAAAGGTGGACGCAATCGTACATTTCTCAGAACTGACTCGTTTCACTAAACGCCAATACTTTGGGTGCTCTCTTACAATGTTACAACACACAACTTTGAAAATGAATGCAACAATTTGCTTAAATAAATGCTAAAATGTAACAACCGACAGTTACTCGAGCCGCTCACGTTGAGAGTCTGTGTGGTACTGCTTTCAAACTTCCCACATTATACATAATTCTTGTAGTTGACAACTGTTTTTGCCGCCACTTGCTCTTGCTTTTCGACTTGCCTAGCCTTTGTCGACCTAACTTCCGCTTCCAATCCTGTCTCGACCCCATCTTTGGGGATTTCCTCTTAAAACTTGTCGACGACTCTTGTTTATCACTTGTAGAATAATTGACAATCCCTTTTGACAAATGATACCATCTAACTTATGGCTTAATTTTTGAATCGAAAATTGCTTGTCAACAGATACACAAATATTACTTTTAAACTTGACCTTGAGTGGGAACTGGAAATAGATATAGGGAGGTAGAAAGAAAGTTATTTTCTTTTAAAAAATGAAAGAGAAGAAGGAGAGTCAGATGCAAATTTTAAATACTTTCCCCTAGCTCACAGATACATCTTCAAAATGTTTTTTTCAATTTAAAAAAGATTAATTCAGTGATACATCTTCAAACATATCTAACAATTTTTTTCACATATACATCTCCAAATTAATTTATAATTAACACTGAAAATTAATGCATCCGAAAATATATCTCTTACATAAACTATTATAGAAAATTCGCCCTTAATTTGTGAGAAAGTATAAAGGTGCAGTCAAATTTTTTTTTTCATTCGTTTTAATTAATAGAAAAACAAAATAATGATAATAAGCCAACACCAACAAACCTCACTTCTTCTCTCTTTCTCTATCTAACCCCAACAAACCTCACTCTTCATCTCTCTAGGGTTTCCCCACGAACTCCATCGCAGCGCTCATTCGCCCCTTTCTCGATCACGAATTCTCCAATTTCTCCATTTCATACTCGATTCCCTCTCGTTTCTACACCTAGGTTCGTGAAATCGCGACTTTTCCACGCTCTTACTTTTCCTCAATTTGAATTTTCGTTTTGATTCTTCGCTCCTGAAGCGAAGTTCGAGTAGGATTTGATTAGTGTGATTTTCGTTCTTCATTATTCACGTGCATAAAAAATTGATTAGCGTTGTATTTAGGAATCAACTATTTGATTAATTTTATTGTTTAGTTTGTTTATTAGAATTGATTGAACTTGTTTGAAATTTGAATGATGCAGACACGAAAGGATTGTTATGTAATAGGAGGTGAAGTCTAGTGTTTTTTCGGATTTTTATTGCGTGCGTGAATGTTTTTCGATGCTTGATGATAGTTGCTATGGATTTGAATGCGTCTCCGGTACCGGAGGAGGAAGATGAAGATGTTTACGAAGAGAAGATACATGTTCAAGAGTATAGTGCACCTGAAGACCACGTAGAAAGTGGAGCTGCTATAGCACGCCGGGTACTATTTTTCTCCTTTTCCTTCTTTTTATTTGTTCTTTTCTGGTTTCATCTCAAGTGATTGGGGTCTGTTTGGATAAACAGGTTATTTGCAGCTTATGGCTCAACTGCTTATCAAAATAATATCGCATTAGTTATTTTTATAACAAGAAAAAGAATTAAATTGTTTTTATATATGTTATAGTTTTCATTAGTTATCTTAAAGAATTTATAAAAGTAAGTTCAAAAAAATTTATGAAAAATGTCATAAGCTGTTTTGATCGAGTTTCCCAAACAGTGACACAAAACTTATGACAGTAGATAAGCTAAAATAAGTCCATCCTAACAGGCCCCAAATGTTGGCCACAGTTCTGGTTCTAGTTTCTCGTTATTTAGTTATGACTTGTGAGCTTGGGACTTCCACATTTTAATGAGTGGATGTGACATTATGGAATTATAGTTTTTTAGAGTTGTAGTGGGTAGAGGAATTGAATCCACATTTTATGCCATAAAAACCATGTTTATGATGCAATTGTTGCTTTGGGGCTATGTCAATAATCCATTTTGAGAGTTTCTTAAGACTTGATAGCCCACGTATGTGTTGTATTGTAGTTCAACCTATGTTATTAATAGCGGCCGGAGCAAAGCGGAAATTTTGGCTTGGCCACTTCTTGGTATACCGGTAAGGCGCGAGCGATGGGGAGTAGCGGCCACGATAGGGCTGGTGCGGCCGAGATCGCGGGTTCGGGCGCAGAGTGGGTGCGGCCCAAAGCGCCACGTTTTCTGGAAATGATTCTGGAAAACAGATCGCAAGAAGAGAGAGAATACAGATTGCAAGAAGAAAGAGAGAGAAAACATGTTGTGAGAGGGAACAAAGCAGCGGCGCTTTTACTCCACTCAACTTCTCTCTCATGAACATAAATTAGGGTTTGGCTAATAATGATGTAATAATCATGGGCTTAACCCGAAATGAAACAAACAGCCCACACCACCTACTAATCACACTCCCCTCCTGTTATCTCAGTGTTCCAATTTTTTTATTGCTCTTTTTGTTGTGTTTTGGGCCATTAACGTTGAATTATATCCAAGTTTTATTGGTGACTGTTAAATTGAATGTGTCGAGCAATTTTGATTTTGAATGTCAAGCAATTTTGACTTTTGACTTTTGAGACGATGATTCTTATTGGCTAACAAATATATACGTGAGTTTCATTAGTAATTAGTGTTTTGATCTGTGTATTACCCTTACTTGACTTTTCATTAACACAAGTTCTGCTTTGTTCTTTCTTTTTTTTAGGAGCGCGAGGAAAGAAAGAGACGCTTGAAAAGAGAACGTCCAGATGATAAACCTGTGAATCGTTCACAATCACCTCGATATGATCAACAGTTTCATACAAAAAACCCTAAATCATATGATACAAGTAGGCTTCCTCCGGGTAAGTGTTTCTTTCCATGGTCTCCTTGCTGTTTCTTTCCATGGTCTCCTTGCTGCCAGTGATAATCAACAATGTGATAGAAATAAAATATTTCTTAATACAATTCTCTCTTTAGTTTGACCTATATTTAAAGTGGATTTGTTATGTATTGATGAAACTTAATGATATTATGAAAAAGTGAAGAGTATTGTTAATCGGTAACTAACTTATGCTATTTGAGTTCTTTCATTAGAATAGTATCTGAAATATTTGAACTCTACAAGGGAGCACTAGCTAACTGAAATTAGCTTTCAAACTACCCTGTTATCCTCCTTTAAACCTAGGATGATGGAGATAAGAGTAGAGTTAACTGTTATGTGATTCGAAACACGAGATCCCAAAACCCATGATTAGTCAGATTAGCCTTTAATATTCTCGGTCCCCCCATGGCTGTAACCTCCTTGATTAGTGAGAATAGAGACAAATGTGGAGGAATCTGGTTAGGACAAAGTTCATATCAGAAGAGGGACCTGTTAAGATTGTTTACATCAGGAACATCTGAGTTTATCACTATGGTTTTTATGAAGATCATGAGGCACACAAGCCATCTAATGGTGATTTTTGTTCAATTCAAGTATGTGGGCACATCATGATAAGTCATTTGAAGAGTGACAAGATTGTAGAAAGAGCCATACTACCTCTGTGCACATCATTGGATTATACTTGTGGAACTTTCTTTGAATATCAGTGTGTTTTAAACGAACGGAAGTGGACAACAACTTGGGATCAATAGATTGCCAAAGCAATGAGACCAGTTGGCACTCTACACTTGGTCATTGCCCTTTGCCCTCAGTAGGAGTCTTATAAACTTTCTTGATTAAGTGATTACAGTGTCCTTGACCTAGGAATCATGTAGCAACATCAACATGCTAGGCTAAATCATACAAGAAAGATAGCCACAAAAAATGGATTGTAGGGTGGTGCACAAACTTCACATGCAGTAGAACTTTCCACGTGTGACTTAGTGAATTGGGTTTGGGCGATAAGATCTCTAGAAACAGGATGAGTGGCATTGCCTGAAGTGTTTCAAGGTTTCATGCCGGTGTGGGTCATGACTCTTGAGAGTAGATGGTGCACGATAATTTTCAATTAGTGGTTGGTTAGACGAGTCACGTCCAATCACCATTTCAGGGCTCTAAATAACAAGTTAACTGATTTGGTTAACTTGATAGAATCTGCCTTAAGACGCAGTCTTATAGCTATATTAGGGCTTTATATAGCAAGTGGACTTATTTATGCTTGAATCAACCAAGGAATAGCTAGTTGATACTCTGTTAAAGACTTTTTTAGCTCCAAGGTTTTATGAATTGTATGACAAAGTTAGGGTCTTGGATTATTTTTCTATGTTTCAGCTACCTTGAGTTTGACACAATGTTGTTAATAGCGGGTCGCGGCAAATAGCAGATCACCTAAAAGCCTATATGATAAAATTTGGATAGTGTAGCGGGCAAATAGCGTAAGCCGCAAAGCGGTTAAAATAAAGAATTACATATAAAATAAAACATGCTACACACAAATAAATGTTACAAATAAATGTTATGTAAACAGATATTAAAAAATGGAGTGACATTAACCTGGTATTGAGTCAGCTAGCGATTGTTTAGTTGGTAGTCACTGTTAGCTAATAAGTTTATTTATACATTTCAGATTCAAAGCTGTTATAATTTACTTGTCATGTTTGAGATTATTGGAATACATTTTGTCCCATACTATTGATCTAAATGTGAATGAAAAAACTTACATATTACTTTATTCTTTTCATACAGGTTGGCTAGATTGCCCTGCATCTGGCCAGGAGATTTGTTGCATGATACCTTCTAAAGTTCCTCTTGGTGAATCATTCAATGACTGCATTTTTCCTGGTAAAAGATACTCATTTAAACAAGTGATACATCAACAGAGAGTTTTAGGGAGGAAAGTAAGTAGAGCTAATCCTGAAAATGTAATATTTATTGAGATGTTTCTTACTTCCTATGCTTCATTGTGGTTGATTTTTTCTTAGATTTGATTTTTAGAGTAGGAGTAATTGAAATGAATTTTAGAAGTTATATCCATATATAAAAAAGAGCTATATATCTAGTTTACACAATTGTAATCTTTTCTACTTGTCTCTAGGAGTATAATGTAGAGAGACTGAATGTTCTATATCCTACAAAAAAACTTGTATACATAAAATTTATTGCATTTTACATTTTATTCTCTTGATTTGCAGCTCGGTCTGGTGATTGATTTGACAAACACCTCTCGATACTATCCAGTGACGGATTTAAAAAAAGAGGGCATCAAGCATGTTAAGGTTTGTAGTTGCCATATTTAATTCACCATGTCAATCTTTTACAGTTTTCTTTAAAACTTTGACATCTCTTTCTTGTTGATATATTTGAAGATCATTGTTTTTGTTTAGATTCAATGCAGGGGGCGTGGTTCTGTACCTGATAATTTATCTGTGAATCAGTTTGTCTATGAGGTTTGTTTTTTTTAATACTATTTAGCCATGAATAGTACAACCTCCGGCCCACAATGAGTGTGACCCTTTTGTAAAAATAAGTTGTCCCAAAATGGATAACCCTTTTCTTTTAGAAGGCATTATTATTTTTTCCAATTGTACCCTCTAATTACCACTACTGTCATCACCACCAATCCTTAATAAGAGATGATTTAGTAAAAGCGTTCTTCTCACTCTTTCATTTGTACGTTTTATTCTAATCTAGGTGAAATTGTCAACTGGGTCGCTCATTGTGGGACGGAGGGAGTAATTTTGTAGAATTCAGTTTCTATTTCCGTTTCTTAGCATTCATAGGATAATTTAATTTTGAGAATAAGAGACCCTTTTTTAAAAGCCTAAAGAAAAAACCATTGTAAACAAGAAAACGTCAAGGAAGCAATACTCTGCTCTACGCCAAATAAAGTCAAATGTCTCTCAAATAACCTAGTCTGCCAAATTTCAATGGCGCAAGAATTACAGTGATTATTAATTTTTAACAATATTATTACTATTATTTTCAGGTTATACAGTTTTTGTCACGCCAAAAGCAGTCAAAGAAGTATATACTTGTTCACTGTACACACGGGCATAACCGTACCGGATACATGATTATCCACTATCTAATGCGTTCTATGTCAATGTCTGTTACACAGGTCAGTTTTGGAGCCACCCTGTTACTGTAGCTCTCTTTATAACCCCTTATGGCCTGTTTAAGGCATTCTTCTAATTCAATTAATATACCTTTTTCACAATTTGTAGGCAATTAAAATTTTTTCTGAAGCGCGCCCTCCAGGAATTTATAAACCTGATTATATTGATGCATTGTACACATTTTATCATGAAAAAAAACCCGAGATGGT